TGTTATCAGGGGCCCCTATCCTTCAAAATTTCTACCTATTTTCTCCCTAATACCCCCCCAATTTTATTTTAAAAACAACTTTCAGCTAATTTGAGATTTTTTTTTTAACCTGAAAATGTTTTCTGCTTGAGATCTGAAAAGCATTTTTAGTAAATACAGATGGCTGACATAAGATTCTTTCCATTTCTGATGAGGAGATTTGCTACAGAGGAGAATGCTGGGCACTGAGCAGGAATCCTCATGTCCCAGTTATTGTGAATGGAAGGAAGGGGCCAAAAGGGAAAAGCTGAGAAGTGGAAAACAAGTTATTTGGATATCAGCATAACCAAAGTCAGCCCTACTTATGTTCATTTATGGGTAGATTAATTGGAGCTGTACCCAGAGGTTGAAGTTCAAGCTATGGACTGAAACTTTCCCTTGAGCTACATGACCCGTGATGGTAATTCCATTTCACGTGACTCCAGAACCTGCTGTAAGGCAGCCAAACGGATTATAAAAACATCTTTATTCTTCAAGGCCTCGTTAATGAGGTTACAATGCTACTCACAGCCTCCTGCAGCCAGCGCAGCTCTAGGTCAGTGGTTCTCAATCCTGGCTAAATATCTGACTCTCCCCAATGCTGGCTTCGCTCCAGGGAAACTCTTACTGTATTGAGGGTGTGGCCCAGGCATGGAGATTTTTAAAAACTCCCCAGGTAACTCATACGCATAGGTAGTGGCCATCCAAGGATCTGACAGGCAAGAAAGTTAGAAGTTTACATAATACCTACCACTTCAAAATCTAAAATAAACATCCACTTGGAAGAATGAAGCAAATCATGTAAACATACTGTGTCTGTGTGTATGCCTGTCTGTCTTTCTCTGTTTCTCTCTCACTCTCTGACACACACACACACACACACACACACACACACGCACGCACGCACACGTTGAAACTGTTGAGTTTGCAACTCAATAAAACTCTTGAAAGTAAGAACTCTTATGCCTTAAAAGGGGGAGCATAGAGAAAACTACCAATATTGTAACAGGTATGACTCTTAAAGACAGATTTTATAAGAAATACCAAAATTGGAATATTCCTGCTGAAAGGGAACTTAAAGGGTTAATGAGTGGTTTTCAAATAGGTCTGTGGCCCAGTGCAGGCCCCCTTGATGTTGTCAGTAGGCCAAAAAAAAAAAAAAAAAAAAGACAACAGAGTAATGTTTGGTACTAAGTTTTCTTTTTCTTTTATCAATGATGACAGTAAATAGTAGGATTTTTCATTTTTTTCTTTTTTAAACACAGGCATATCCCAGAGATATTGGAGGATTGCTTCCAGACCATTGCAATAAAGCAAATAATGCAATAAAAAGAATCACATAAATTTTTTGGTTTCCTAGTGCACATAAAAGTTATATTTGAACTAGATTATAGTCTATTAGGTGTGAAATTGCATTATACCTAAAAAAAAAAAAAACAAAAAACAAAACAATGTATGTACCTTAACTAAAAATACTTTATTGCTAAAAAATGCCAGCAATCATCCAAGCCTTTAGTGACATAATCTTTTTGCTGGTGAAGGGTCTTGCGCCAATGCTGATGGCTGCTGACTCAACAGGATAGTGGTCACTGGAATCTCGGATGACTATGGCAAATCCTTAAAATAAGACAACAATGAAGTTTGTTCCATCAACTGACGCTTTCATCCACAAAATATTTCTCTGTAGCATGCAATGCTATTTGACAGCATTTTACCTACAGTAGAACTTCAAAATTAAAGACAATCTTCTCAGACCTTGTCAACTGCTCTGTCAACTAAGTTTATGGAATATTCTAAATCATTTGTTGTCATTTCGACAATGTTCACAGCATCTTCAACGGAAACAGATTCCATTTCAAGAAACCACTTTCTTTGTTCATCCATAAGAAGCAACTCATTCATTCAAGTTTGATCATAAGATTGCAGGAATTCCAATACATCTTCAGAGTCCACTTCTAATTCTAGCTTTCTTGCTATTTCTACTACCTCTACTGTTATTTCATCCACTGAAGTCTTGAACCCCTCAAAGTCATCCATGAGGGGTGGAATCAACTACTTCCAAATTTCTGTTAATGTTGGTATCTGACCTCCTTCTATGAACCCTGAATGGTTTTAATGGCATCTAGAATGGGTGAGATCTTTTCAGATGGTTTTCAATTTATTTTACCCAAATCCATCAGAAGAATCACCATCTGTGGCAGTTATAGCCTTACCAAATGCACTTCTTTAATAATGAGACTTGAAAGTCAAAATTACTACTTGATCCATGGGCTGCAGAATGGACGCTGTGTTGGCAGGTATGAAAACAACATGAATCTCCTTCTTCCACATCTCCATCAGAGGTCGTGGGGGACTAGGTGCATTGTCAATGTGCAGCAATTGAAAGGAATCTTGTTTTCTGAGCTGTAGATCAAAACAGTGGGCTTAAAATATTCAGTAAACAATGCTGTAACAGCTGTGCTGTCATCCAGGCTTGTTTCACTTCTAAAGCATAGGCAGAGTAGATTTAGCATAATTTTTTAAAGGGCCCTATAATTTTCAGAATGGTAAATGAGCGCTGGCCTCAACTTAGTCACCAGATGCATTACTCCTCTAACAAGAGTCAGCCTGTTCTTTAAAGCCAGGCATTATCCTCTCCTCTCGATCCAAGAAAGTCCCACCTAGCTGGCATCTTCTTCCAATTTAAGACTGTTTTATCTACATTGAAAATCTGTTGTTTAGCATAGCTGCCTCCATCAAATCATCTTAACTAGATCTTCTGGACTTCTGGATAACTTGCTGCAGATTCTATATCATCACTTGCTACTTCACCTTGCATTTTTATATTACGGAGAAAGCTTCTTCCCTTAAATATCATGAGCTGAGCTCTGCTAGTTTCAAACTTTTCTTCTGCAGCTTCCTTACCTCTCTCAGCCTTCACAGAATTGAAGAGAGGGTCTTGCTCTGGAGTAAGCCCAGGCTTAAGGGAAAATTATGGCTGGTTTGATCTTCTACCAAGAACCAAAGTTTTTTCCCATCAGCAATAAGGCTTTCTAATCATTTGTGTTCACTGGAGTAACACTTTTAATTTCAAGAACTTTTCCTTTGCAGTCACAGCTTGGCTAAGTGTTTGGTGCAAGAGGCCCATGGAGCGGCCTGTCTCAGCTTCTGACATGCCTTCCTTCCTCACTAAGCTTAACCATTTCCAGCTTTTGATTTAAAGTGAGAGACAGGCGAGTTTCACTTGAACACTTAGAAGACATTGCAGGGCTGTTAATTGGCCTGATTTCAATATTGTTGTGTCTCAGGGAACAGGGAAGCCCCGGGAAAGGCAGAGACAATCAGAGCAGTAGTCAGAACACATACAACACCTATCAATTAAGTTCACCATCTTATATGGGCACAGTTCATGGCATCTCAAAACTATTACAACAGTAACATCAAAGACTGCTGTTCACCATAACAGATATAATAATGAAAAAGTTTGAACTATTGCCAAGAATTACCAAAATGTGACACAGAGAGATATTAGTGAATACATGCAGTGTGAAAAATGGAACTGGTAGATTTGCTCCACATGGGTTGCCACAAACTTTCAGTCTGTTAAAAAAAGAAACCGCAGTATCTGCAAAGTACAACAAAGTGCAGTGTAAAAAAACAAGGTATGCCTGTATATGTATTCATTTGACAGTCAGACACTATCTATGTATGGCTGCCCCACAGTTTTTAATTGATCCACAAAATCCTAGTGTCTGGATATCACTGACACATTAATTCAACTTTTTTTTTTTTTAACACAAACTCAGACTACAAGGATTTTATAAACTCACACCGAACCAGCTGCGAAGGAGGAATGAGAGAGCGATCTCCAATCTTCCACGTTCAAGCTCTCCATTAATACCACAGCCACCAGCTTTTTCACGGTAAATACTGCACTTCACACCCATCTTATAAAGTATGAATCAAAGGTAAGTGCATTAGTTACAGAAATTCTATGGTAAATTCTTCTGTAATCTGAAAGGCATCTAGTTTTAAATACTGGATTTTTCTAAAATAGGGTTCACCCACATGGTATTTCGTTGGTATTGCTTCACATTTCTGGTGGGAAAGAGTAATGGTTACTTTTACAGCTGTTTAGGGAAAGAGAGTGGGGCAGTCTAAAACTTGAGTTCTACTTACCTACATTTAAAAATCAACACATGGCCGGGTGCGGTGGCTCACGCCTGTAATCCCAGCACTTTGGGAGGCCAAGGCAGGCAGATCACCTGAGGTCGGGAGTTCCAGGCGAGCCTGACCAACATGGAGAAACCCCATCTCTACTACAAATACAGAATTAGGCGGGCGTGGTGGCGCATGCCTATAATCCCAGCTATTCCGGAGGCTGACAGGAGAATCGCTTGAACCTGGGAGGGGAAGATTGCGGTAAACCGAGATCGCGCCATTACACTCCAGCCTGGGCAACAAGAGCGAGACTCTGTCTCAAATAAAATAAAATAAACAAAACATCAACACATAATGTCAGCTTTCAAAAACCGACCGGAAGTGGATGGAGGTGTAGATGTGAAGGGACTGGCCATGAGTTGGGATCATTGTTTAAGCTGGGAGTACTTGGAGGTTCAGGATACAGCACTAGTCTCCCTATTCCTACGTTTTTTGTAAGTCTTTGAAATCTGCTGCACTGAAGAGTTTTCTGTTGTTGTTTGCTTAAGTATCCGGGATGACTGAAATCCAGCCAGAGGCCTTTCTGCCATAAACGAAGATGAAGAGGAGACGTCAGCGCCTGCGCCCCAACAGAAGCAAGCTCATACCTCTGCTTGCCGCGACAACCGCAGAGCTCAACGCGACTTCAAGCAATCAGCGTCCAGACCCAGGAAGACCACCCGGCACGTTCCGGGAAGCAAGAAGTCCCACCCCCAGCTAGAACTGCAGCCCGGCTGCTCGGTTCGCTAGTAGGAGGCCCCAAGCCCGGCCCCAGGCGGCCGCTGGCTCTCTCGGTTACTCACCCGCCTCGCTGTAGGCCAGGCGCAGCACTCGGCCCAGCGTGGAGAAGGCGCACCGCGGCTGGCACAGCTCTTGGCCGGCCACGGTGAACGCCTCCACCTTGCAGCCCGCAGCCACGAAAAGCGCGTCACGCCCCCCGCCGCAGAACCGCTCCGGCTCCAGCTTGCAGGGCACTACCTGCTGCGACCCGAACGGGTGCAGGTTGTACAGCTGCACCATCCCGGCGGCCAGAAGCCGGATGGCCCAGTCTGCCTGCCCCGCAGGGCGCCCGAAGACCCCGCGCCGGCTGCAAAGGTAGGAACACTTCCGCGAGCAAGCCAGCAACGCCGAGTCACGTGAACGCCAGCGGGCTCCGCCTGCGTCTCCTCTATTTAAAGAGGCCGCCGCTGGGCGTGGCGGACCCAGGAAAGCGATCACGCCCGCCCAGCCCCGCCCGCGCTCGCGCTCGCGCTCTGCAGTGTTTTCGGCCTCCGGGCTTGCCACTCCGCCGCCCGGAGCTCGCCACCTCCATGCTCCGCGTTTGGTGGGTGCGGGGACTGCTGGGTCCTGCCCTTCGTCTTTTACTGCTTCGGGCCAGGCGGGATGTTTTGGCTTTTGAGTAAGTTCTGACAATTCATCATCTATCTTGTAACATTTCGTACTTACTTTTAGGAGCGTTATTCCTGTCTCTTCAGTAGCCCCTGAGCTTCTGGAGGATGGGGTTGCAAAAACTGAAATGGGATGCAACTCGAGGCTAAACATTAAGAGCTGCTCAAAAATACCGGAAATTCTAGAATAGTTTGGCTGGAAAGAGCAAAGCCTTGAACGTCCTTGACAAAAGGCCATATTTGTTGAATGAAAGAATCCGTGGACATCATCTTGTAGGCTTTTGACAAAAGATTAATTTGAACCCCAAAGGACAGAAGAACTAGGAGGGAAATCCCCTGGCTCTCAGTCCAGTGCTCCTAAGACTAGGCAGTAAATGATCTATTCCTGACATCTCAACGTGGAGTTCACAATTGCAACACTTTCCCTCTTGTTTTAAACAGATTTAGATGAAACAAGTAGTATAACTTTTTCCAATTCACCTAGAAAATATATGTGTTAGCATGGATTGAGGGATGCTGTTTTATTTCGGCACACAGGGACATAAATGAAAGTGCAAAATTTTCTTCAGTCAGTTTCCAGTTCAATCACCCTCATGAGCCCTTTTTTTCAAGAATTTGTAAATTAGGTGCGATTGGATTGAAGTTAAACTTATCTTCCTTTCCTAGGCCCTTCAGATGAATAAAGTACCTCTAAGTAATCGGAGACAACAGGTTCTTCAAAGTCAGTGAGACAGAGAAGTAGACATGGATGGTAGGTCAGGTTAGGAACTAGGGCTGAAAAATCACAGAAGATGCCTATAGAAAACAACCAGACTAATAGTCCACAAGTTATTTGTTCTAGATACAACACTTGAGAGCAAATATCATAATCAGTAGCAAAAAAGGTTTCTTTCCACAAATATCTGCCATATTATTCTTTTTGGGTTTTCTTCTTCAAGACTGAATTCTCCTAATTCAATTTTCTCCTAATGAAGACTGAAGACCGATATTAACTTTAATGTAATTTCATCTGTATAAAAAGAATATCTATTTTGGAGAAAGCAATGAGATTTGCTCAAAGCCTGGAACCCTAGTCCTTCCTATAGATAGTGTCTTTCCCTTGTTATAATCACTGAACGTGACTTGTCTAAGATTTTTTGGGAAAAGATATGCTACCCAATGGAAAGTGGGGCATGTATCTGGTTTCCATGTTTGTCAGGAGCTGTGAGCAGGAGCTGCCCACTTGTATTCCTGTCACAAATGCAGGGGCAGCAATGGCACATAATCAATTCCTGATGAGAGGCTGTATTTGTTTGCAAGGGCTACCTCCAGATTAGCAGGGACTATAGGCGCATACCACCACAGTCTGGGTGGTTTAAACAATAGACATTTCATTTTCATAGGCCCGGAGTCTAGAAGTCCAAGATCAAGATGTCAACAGGTCTGGTTTCTCCTGAAGCCCCTCTCCTCAGCTTGAAGATAACTACCTTTTTATTATGTGCTCATATGGTCTTTCTTCTGTGTGCCTACATCCCTGTTGTCTCTCTCTCTCCTTATAAAGATACCAGCCATATTAGAATAGGGCCACTCTTATGATCTTATTTAACCTTAATTCTTTCTTTCTTTCTTTCTTTTTTTAACGGAGACTCGCTCTGTCACCAGGCTGGAGTGCAGTGGCCTGATCTCAGCTCACTGCGACCTTGACTCACTATAACTCTGCCTCCTAGGTTCAAGCGATTCTCATGCCTCAGCCTCCTGAGTAGCTGGGACTACAGGTGCCCACCACCACGGCCAGCTAATTTTGTATTTTTAGTAGATGGGGTTTCACCATGTTGGCTGGGATAGTCTCGATCTCTTGACCTCATGATCTGCCCACCTCAGCCTCTCAAAGTGCTGGGATTACAGGCATGAGCCACTGCACCCGGCCAACCTTAATTATTTCTTGAAAGCCCTGTCTCTATGTACAGTCACATTCTGAGGTACTGGAGGTTATGGCTTCAACATATGAATTTTGGGGGAAAGACATAATTTAGCTCACAACACACGCACTTAGGGTGGCGCTCTGTTGAAAAGAGTTGTCTTGAGAACTAACTTTCTACCTTCCTTCCTTCCTTCCTTCCTTCCTTCTTCTCTTTCTCTCTTTCTTTTCTTTCTCTTTTAAAGGAATGGGGTTTTGCTCTGTCACCCAGGCTGGAGTGCAGTGGTGTGATCCTTGCTCCCCTGTAGCCTTGACCTGGGCTCAAGCAGCCCTCCCACCTCTGCCTCCAGATTAGCAGGGACTACAGGTGCATACCACCACACCTGGCTAATTTTTAATTTTTTTTTTGTAGAGATAGGGTCTGACTACATTGCCCAGGCAGATCTTGAACTCCTGGACTCAAGCAATACTCTTCCCACAGCCTCCAAAAGTGCTAGGATTACAGGCATGAGCCACTGCATCTGGCCCTAGAGCTTCTTTAAGCTATATTTGCTGGGGAGATTTAGGGTACTATATGGGTAAAACGCTCCCCCTAGTTTATTCTGGGTGACAACACTGCTGGGGATCACGACAAATGGTTCTGCAACAGCATGGACAAAGGGCTCTACGCAACCAGCCTAGAAAAGAAGGATTCTGGATCTCTGGAGCACTGATTCCCTATCTCATCTGTGAGGTACCTCAGGATATCTACGTTAATCTTAGAGAATTTGTTGAGAACGTCACTCACAAAATATCATTTACTTCTCACTTTTTATTACTATATGTTCTCAAAGTTCTTTCTGGAAAACTCACAAAAATTAAACAAGGAAAGTATATAGGAATTCCCAAAAGGTAGCTGATCACTATTGCATAGGTAGCTCCATTGTTTTTGCCTCTTAAAAAATAAAGAGCCTCTGGAAGATTTTTTTTTAAAGTTAGGTTGGTGGTGTAAGCATGCTTCCTGAAGAAGAGAATGTGACTCTCTCAGAGCAATGGGTGAAGTGGTTTCCGCACCTCTAAACAACACCATCACGACTGTCAGAGAAGCCCAAGACACGTGGGGAAATCAAGCCCTATCACTGAGGTGTCCCGCCCTTGGCCTTCAGATAGAGCAGTTGATGGGGTGTAAGGAGCTGCAAACTACAGCTCCAAATGGCCCTCCTTCTCTCTTCCCTAGCCTCCTCTTCTCTCTTCTCTCTTCCCTAATTTTTTTTTGGGAGGGGGGCCAGAGTGGCATAGGCAGGCAGGCCACTTCTATAGTTTTCCTGGCTTGCTGCATTTAGAGGGTATCTCACATTTGCCTTTAAGATACCCCACATTCCCAAAACTAATGCTCTCATCTTGACCCATCAGCAGCATTGTATCACTCACTCTTCTTAAATCATTCTCTTCTCTGGGCGTCTGATAGCCTACTTCAGATTTTCCTCCTCTGTCTTCTTTACTGGATCCTATCCCTCCTTTCTCTGAACTCTAAAATTGGATGTCCTTGAACATGTTCTCTCCATCTGTACTCTCTCTTTCAGTGAAATCAACCAATCCTTTAAAAATTATCTAAATACTAAGAACCCCTGAATTTATATCTCCAGCTCTCAGTTTCCTTGAGCTTTGACCTTGAATATCCAATTGTGTTAGGCTGTTCTCACATTGCTATAAAGAAATACCCAAGGCTGGGTGACATATAAAGAAAATAAGTTTAGCTCACAGCTCTGCAGGCTGCATAGGAAGCATGATGCTGGCATCTGCTCAGCTTCTGGGGAAGCCTCAACAAACTTACAGCCATGGCAAAAGGTAAAGGCGGAGCAGACACATCACATGGCCAAAGCAGGAACGAGAGAGAGGGGAGAGGGGCCACACACTTTTAAATAGCTGGCTCTCTCAAGAACTCACTCCCTATCATAAGGATAGTAGCAAGGAGATGGTAGTAAACTATGCATGAGAAATCCACCCCCATGGTCCAAGCACCTCCCACCAGACCCCACCTCCAACATTGGTGATTGCAATTCAACATGAGATTTAGGTGGTGGCACAGATCCAAACTATGCCACCAATTTAACACCTGTATTGCCTAATAGTCATTTTCAGACTTCAGATGTCCAAAACTAAACTTCCAATTCCTTCACACCCTGCATCCACCTCTTACCTTTCCTAACTAGGTAACTGGCACCAGTCACTTAGGCCAAAAGCCCAGGAATATCATTGACCCATCATTTTCTCTCACGCTCTACATCCAATCCATCAGCCAGTCCTGTCCATTCTGTCTTTAGAATCTGACCATTTTTCACCATATCACCACTACTATCTCAGTTCGTGTCACCATCATTTCTTACCTAAGCAAATGCCTTCTAACTGGTTTCTCTGCTGTACTCTTGCCTCTCTCTAGTGTGTTCTCCATAGAGCAGCCGGAGATTTTTTTTAAAAGTACTGTACCTTCTTTTCCTTCTCCTCCTTTTCTCTATCACCCAAAAAATTCATCTTAAAACTATTAGATGGGCTAAAGTAAGACATCCATAGTAGGGGGAGGAGGAAGCCAGGTAAGTGAAGAGGCAGAGCCCAAATGGAATAAAAAGGGCATCCATGATGGGGTGGTACAGCCTAGTGTGGGGAGTCAGAGCCCAAAAAGGATGAAGAGGGCATTGCCATGGTGTGTCAGAGCCTGATTAGTGAGGAAAGCACTCATGCAAGACAAGAAAGGCATCCACACATGAGGTGTTAGAGCCTGAGCAGGATGTAGAGAGTGTCCCTGCGGGGGAAGGGGTGGCCCAAGATGAGATGTCAGAGCCAGTGCAGGGTGAGGAGGGTGTTCATGTGGGAGGAGCAGCCTGGCATGGAGGGTTGATCT